TTTAAATATATTATATTATCATAACTTACGTAAGAATGGTACAGATACATATATATATATATATATATATATATATATATATATATATATATATATATATATATATATATATATATATATATATATATATATATATATATATATATATATATATATATATATATATACCGATCGGGACAGGTCAACTCTGTGTATAGGATTTTAACGTGTAAGACAGTGATGTAGGCAGCTTAATGGCAAATCAAATGTATTAAAAAGAGAAAAAAGTTGGGTGGGTATGGGTGGGTACATTTCTTCTGAGCGGTATTGCCGGATTTTGCATCAAAATTTCAAACCGCAGAAGTAGACGTTTCAAAAAAATGTTGCATCAGGGTTGGATCAGGGTTCTAATTAATGATATTATTTGACAATATGCTATTAGTTATGCAGAGTTTGTTAGAGGAAGTTTATCTGGCAACACTGAGTGCAGTCTCGAATTATCATCGGTATCGGAGTCAATTTGTGCTCCCACCATGCTCATTCTTAATCCCGCCTACACGTTTACGAACCGGCAACACTGTATCCCCCCTTTTATTTTGCGTCTCTCTCTGTCAACCGGTCAATTGTATTATTCTCTGTCGTATCCATTAAAATCCTATACGCAGTAATTAAATGACCAGGACTGTATATAGTTGTTGTAATAGTAAGATAATATGTAATACCTCAACAGAATTTTGCTTGATTATTAATTGTGTATATTCCGTGTAGTATATATTATATAATGTAGTATATATTTGTGTATATACTACATTATAATTTAAGTTAATACAAGAATTTAACTGGTTACTTTTAATACATCTAATAATTGCAAAGACACTAAATTAAATAACAATGTATTTTTTGAAAATTGGTTCTTGGGGTTATGGTCCGTATATAAATTTGTTTATTTTTTTATTTTGTAGTGAAACACATTATCAAAGTTTACGTTTCGATCTATATTAGATCTTTATCAAAACATGTTATTATAAACTTGGACGGCATAAAAACAACTTATATATTTACATTTTAACACAGCACCTACTAATACATCTATTCAATATTAAACAAACACATAGACTGTAAATCGCTCAGATGTATTAGTAGGTGCTGTGTTAAAATGTAAATATATAAGTTGTTTTTATGAGGTCCAAGTTTATAATAACATGTGTTGATAAAGATCTAATATAGATCGAAACGTAAACTTTGATAATGTGTTTCACTACAAAATAAAAAATAAACAAATTTATATACGGACCATAACCCCAAGAACCAATTTTCAAAAAATATATATATCTTGTCCTAAGAATGGTATATTCCAAAAAAATTAAATAACAATCTTTAGCATTGTAAAAATGCAGCCGAAAAATAAAGCAAGAGCCGCTATAAGACTAAAAATAAGAGCGACTCTCCCTCGAGATAATGCATCACGGAAATGGGCTTAATATTTTGCTATTAACCAACTGAACTGTCAAGTAGGCACCCGCTTAATTCAACTGTTCGCTTTCGCACGAAACAAACCAGGGCTGTCGCGTCCTTACACACCTCTTTTCTGAGGGAGCGCACGTCAAAGATGCCGTAAAATTAATTATTTCTAAAATTAATCAGCTTAGTGCTACATGCAGTAAGTAGGCGCGGGAGCACAGAAGGAAAGGAGAAGAGACATCTTGAGAAATGCGACTGGAGGTTTATTAATAGAGAAACCGAATTTCGGTTTCTTTGTAGATGTAGGTGACAGTTTGTCGTCTGGGAACGTACCCGACTAAATTTTAATAAGTTGCGGTTGGCGGATATTTTACTATCTAAAAATAAACTTTAATTATAGTTTGTAATTTATAATATAGCTATTTTTTATGGTTTTACAAAAAGGGTTCGTCATAAAATATGTTGTTTTTCTAATTCAGTAGTATGGATTCTTAATTTTAAAGTGTATAGAATTTTATTTTTAGGTATATTTTTGCAAAGTATGTATACAGTCACTATATATATTCGCAAATTAACATATTTTTTGTAAATACACATTTGTGAATTACAATGCATCTTGAAGGTTTATTACAAGACACAAATTAATATAATAATTATATTAATTTAAAAATAAAAAAAGAAAAATTATTTTTCTTTACTAATTTAACTAGGAACTGGACATACAATTATTCAAATTATTGGTTTTGGAAACATTAGCTAATACCCAGAACCTAAGTAAAAATTTATCATAACTTACTTAAATGTTATACACATGTAGCTGTTGCAATTATAGTATACTAATATAATATGTGTAATACTTCGCCAGAGCACTTATCTTGTTTGTTTGATTTTGAATTATTTAAGCAGGATAAATCAAATTTTTTTATTTATTGTTACCTAATTCTACAAAATTATTGAACCTATCATTTAGGAATACTATTACTTTATTATAATTTAAGTTAATAATAAAAAAATATTCATTGCCATTGTCATTGCTAATAAATCTTAAAGTTAAAAAGAATATTAATTATATGTTTATCAAAGGAAATGTTCAATTTTATCGTAACCCATGCAACTCAATTATTCATTTTATTAATATATTTAAAATGAAGCAGGACAAGACTGTTAGAGGACAAGAAGAAAGACACAGCTAATCAAACAGAGAGACAGCCAATAAAGAGACAGAAGAACAGACAGCCACTATTTTGTGGATCTATCAATAGGTCTTTATAAGAAACCATAAAAAAATACATATCATGTACCTATCTTATTTTGTTTATTATTTTCAGTGAAGAAAAATGCATCAACGACCTTCAAGCGACACAGTTTCAGTTAAAAGGCTGTTTGGTGCCACGCTAGAATAAACTGTTTGTCTAGCCCTTTCTTTCGCTCCACAAAATGCAGTTTCAAAGAAAAATTACTCGGTTTCAAACGGGCAACGACTCATAAAACTTTTATATTCTGCTGCAAATTACTTTCAACTTCAAATCTCAACCATTTAGAAATAAATACATTTAATTTTAAAAATACATTTTTAATATATAAGGATTTATGGTATCATTTATGATGACATCTTTGAAATTAATATAAACTCTATTAACAGCGCTAATAGCGTTAAATCATTATTTAATAAATATGAGTATTTGATTTGGTTGTTCTAAGTAATTTTACTACACACTTTTATTTTTTTATTAACTTTATTAATAAAATTTGAGTTACATAGTTGTTGTTACATGATTGTATATTTGAATTAATACTATATTGTTTTATTAGGAGTAAAAATGATACTTTTCGTGGTGAGGCTGTACGTTTGGCATTATAGTCGAGACACAAAAATAATTTTAACTCCGAATAGAACATGCTATTTTTTTCAAACGTCAGAAATAATTTTTTAAACAATTTCAAATGTTGAAAGATTTAAAAGTAATACCTTATTATATATCGAGAAATTATGGTTACGTTCGTTGAATTTGACACTCTATGTTAGTTTAAAAATATATTTCCGTGCTTAGTAGTGCTTATATTAGTTTCCTTTTGTGCTTGGGCGTAAAAGTGCTTCATTTTTAGCGTAGGCATGACGTTTTTATATTAACAATCACGTGGCAAAAATTAATAAACTTTTGTGACGTTTGAAAAAAGAAGATATTATAAGTTATGAAATAAGCATAAAAATAATAAAGTGCTTTGCTATATTAAAATAAAAAATAGTCAACATCTTATTTCTTAAAATATAAAATAAAACAAACTCGAGATCAGCAAGTTAATTATTTAAAAAAAATAGACCAAAATTTTATTTCATCTAAAACAAAGTGAAAATCTTGTAAAATATTATTTTATTAAGTTTTATTATTAAAGTAGCATCTGGATATATCGTCACTGTAACACTGTTTTTATCGATTCAGCTTGTCAAAACTTCAAAGGTTCTCAACAAACGTATCTCTAAAAAACGTTTCTCCTTTAGTAATATTTTAAATTGTTATGTTTCTATTCTCTGTGTTGTTTTCCGCGATTGGAGGAAATAAACTCCTGAAACGTTAAAATGTAGGTATATTTTGTTATGTACCTACTAGTCAAAAAGGACGTCTTCAAAACTGAATGTAAAATTTCGGCAAACCCATTAGCATTTTATAATAAACTAGCTGATCTGGCCAACGTTGTTTTGCCATATAAATATTTTTTTGTGGAACAACAGTCATTTTTATTCACAGAGTCGAAAATGATTGAATTACTAATATCGCTATTAAAAAATAAGGGTTGAAGATAGAAAGGTGAAAACTTAGGGTTGTATGTATTTTTTAACGTCACATCAAAAAAACTAATTTTTTTTTGTATATAACAATAAAAAAAATTGGGGTGGACTACCCTTCCCAAGTAACATTTTAAGTTCCTTTAGGTTATATATTCTCAAGGTTAGTTATATAAAGGTTTAATAAATGTCTCATTGGTATCTTACAGTGTTTTGATTTATATAAGTGTAGCGTTGGTTACTTATCACTAATAGTAACCTTGAAATGTTGTTTATCACTTTCCTTATAAAACTAGAGGTTCTTGTTACTAAAGGTTTCATAATAAGGTTTTATAAAGGTGTTCACATCTATTTTATATAACTTCTGGTATTAGGTGTTATAAAGGTACGCAAGATATACACTATATAATTAAAGATATTATTAAGGACCATTACGTAACCAATAATAATACAAGTTATATAATTTTTCCCTCAAATCGTTTTTTTGCACCTTTCAAATGTTTGCATATATATGTTGTTATATACTTTATATAACCTGTAGTTACCGAATACCAAACCTGACGACCTCAAATTTTTAATATAATCAAAACAAATAATATATTAGCAAGCAAAGCAATTCGGTATTATAATGAATAATAAAAAAATAAACTGGACAAAACACAAATATACATCTAAGTTCAAAAGAAAGGTTCTTCAGAATTAAAAAAAAATAGGAATAATCCAAACCTCATTCAAACTACATCTACCAATATTGAAAGCCAACATGCAAATTTACCATCAACAAGCAGAGATCAGGATCAACCTGAGATATTTCCAACAGAAAGTTGCCAAAACGATCAGGAATAGGAAGATGCCTGGTTAAGGCATTCTCTAACATAAGAGTGCGCTTTGCGCTTTAACATTACACATTCTGCACTTAAAGAGCTTTTTTCTATAGTCAATTCATTCATAACTGTTCTACCAAGGTACCAAAGGACCCTAGGACTCTTTTGCAAACTCCTATCACTTTAAATATAGATCAAATTGATCCAAAACAGTATTATTTCAATTTTATGAGGTTATGTTTTGTTTCCTGCACATTTTCTGTCAAATTGCTGTAATGTCAAACTTCGTTCGCAGGGAGTCGCTACAGTCGACACCACGGGTTACATAAAAGCTTTCTGGGTGACTAAAAGTAGCCATAAACACCCCGGAATTTATAATGGTGATTTGTATCACCTTTAGTTTTATAAAACACTAAAATTTTATTGGTGTTTTAAATAACCCAAACTCATTTTCGCAACCTTAAGTAACCAAATTTATATAATGGTTGATGAGTATGTTATAGACCCTAAAGTAATATATAGCACTTTAAATATAATGGACGCCATTATTATTGATGTCTTCATTTTTGGCTACAATAGTATTTCTAAAATAACATTGAAAACTGCTACAGAACTATATTTTGGCCAGTTGCCAGTTATTTCTATGTATTAAAAAAGTCATATGTTCTATTATTTATATTAATAAATTTGACCATCATATTTTTTTTGTTTATAAAAAAATCTATTAAATAATTCTGCTTTTGGGGGCGCATGTGTTTTTTGGAGGTAAAATTGATTTTCACACAGTAAATTTAATATCGCATATGTATTTAGTACTCTGGCTAGGCACAATAGATTTTATTAAGCCAGATTTCTATAAAGTCATTTGCATAACGCAAACGCTTTTGTAGGCTATGATAGGGATGGCATCATTTTGTCTCTTGTGTCTGGTCTGGATTATCTGCGTAGGACAACTTGGAGCAATAAGATCATATCTGCTTTTTATGTTAAAAAAAGAGGCAAATATTAAAGTAGTTAGTCAGCAAGAAACAAGTTTATTTTCAAAAAACGCGCATGCGCGATATTTCTATGGAGGTAATCTCTGAGAACCTTCTGAACACCACTATATAACTATTATATACCCTTTTTCAGTTTTATAGCGGTAACTCGATAGGATATATAAAGGTGTTGAGAAAGTTTTCAGGACTTTGGTTGCACACCTTGAGTGTTGAGGATTACCACAGGAACAGTTATAAAAGGCACCGTTTAGGGCATATAAGTGTTATGTAATGGTTACCAATAACTCACGACAACCATTCTAGATGCGTTTAGGTTGTATAATATGGTGTGTTGGGAAGTTTCCTAATACACTTATAAAACAAAAAATGTTTCTTGGGTTATCACTTAGGGGTATAAGAAATAGATAACAGACCTATTCTCAGACCTACTGAATATACATATAAAATTTAATCAAAATCGGTCAAGGCGTTTCGAAGGAGTATACACGAGAATTTGTTATATTGGATATAAAAATTTTATTTTAAAGTTTTCTGTTTCAATACTAATATTATGATCTTGATTTATAAATTGCAATGCATTTATCAAACACACGATAGTGCAATCATCGTTCGCTCTTAATCTTACTTATTATTATTAATACCAATAAAGTTTAATGGCAGGTATCACAAAAAAAGTAAACAATATACGATAGCAACAGTTTAACGTTGCGTATCGTTTCTATTTCCTTTTTGAACCCTTTATATAAGACAATATGTATATGTATTCAAATTATAATATAAACAGAAAAAAAGTCCGACAAAGCGTTTAACTTATATTATATTTTAACAAGCTTATACTACTAATCATTTAACAATATCACAATATTATGAGGTATATCTACAAATATATTATGTCTAATTAAATTTTTATCTAGGAGCTAATTTAAAATAAATTAAAAGCTACTCATAAAACTACAGACGAGTAATAGACATTGAGTTGTTACATTGTTTCGGTGAGTTAAATATGACGGCTGAATAATAAAAATTCTGAAGTTTTACTGCAAATTTTATATGCTCAGTCTAAAATATTTCGGCGTCCTTATGGCTTCGTTTGCTTTATGTCTCTTCGGAGTTATGTATATCGAACGCATATTGAACCTAAATAACAGTTGTTTGAAAAAAATAATTTTACAATACGAGTCTATATTCTGGTGATTATGAGATATAGGCGACGATCATTAGGTGTTTATAAATACAATTTGTTAATACCATCAAGAATAAAAGTAAATATTAATTCATTGTACTTTTTTATTTAGCTACTTCAATTATTATTGTTTGCATATTGGTTGACTTTAAGTTGGTTATTAGAGTATCCCCCTATGCGATTGCAATATAATTCGGTGTCAAAATACAGTGACAGACAAGATGTATTTTTTGTGGCGGCTACCCTTGGGAATGCTACAATAAAATAAGGAATTTAAAAACCACTTGAAGTAAGCAATATAACAACCGCACATCATCAAGGTGCACCTTTTCTGAAGTTTCAAATAAAATAGTGTTCCAGCCCCGGTCGTTCGGTTGCAATTAATTTTTAGGTTATAGAGTTGCTACTAGTTATTGCCAGATACCTCTGTTAAATTTGCGTCTAGCCGGATGGTGCAACTTTACAACTCGCTGTTCCGCATGCGTATTTGTCTTCGGTGGAACAGCACAACTATAAGAGCATCTTTTTTATTTTTTAAACCGGTCAAATTTTTTTAGATTTTTGAAACTGTCATTAATAACAATCAAAACACGTAGGCGTGTTTTGATTGCGTTGCTTAGTCTATGGGTTAAGTTTTTTTTTATTTAAATTAAACGGGAAATACCCGACCGAGTATCGTTTCTGCGCATGCGGAAGTTCCTTTAACATTTCGTTGAAATAGATATATAGAAGCAAATAGTACTCACAAATTGAAATAAGTAAAATAATAGTAGTAGTTGAGTTATTGTCCCAAAATACTTCAAAATGTTGCCCAAATTGCGATAAATTGCCTAATCTGACCACACTGTGCGGAACTGCGGGTTGTAAAGTTGCACGGTCCGGCTAGACGCAAGTCCTCTGCAAAAATAATATTGTTGTCATAACGCCAATCATATGATGAAAACGATTTTCAGAGTATAATTTATATTAATTGTATTTTAACTAGACAATTTTTTATATGTAGCTGTAAAATATAACGTAAGTCTTTATTTTTCCATCATTTTAAGTACCTATTTATATTTATTTATTTCATTTTCAAAACTTTGGGGGCATTACGCTGATCTTAGTTTTATTATAATAAATAATGTTTATATATTTGACTTCAATTTTTTGTATGTATAAATATGATTTTAAATCTAATTTTTTACACATAATAATGTCTCGAATTAGAATTTTTAATATTGTGTAAAAGATATATTTTTGAGAGTATTTTTGTATTTAAAATGATAGTTTAGAGTGAAATTACGTAATTGCGCGTAATTTAATGCTAACCCCGCACAATAGTTGACGCCTCCGACTTGGAACCATTTTTCAGTAAAGCAGTTTCCGTTCTTTTTCTTGGTTTATTCTTTGGTAGACATGGTTTTCAGTAAATAAACTCTAGAAGTTGTATCGGTTTTTGTTGCTTTAACTGAACATTCTAGACATCAACTTCTGAATTTAAAACCATATTTGCTAGAATAGATGCCAACAAAACAATAATATAATAACTTTTCCAATGAAAGTAATATTACAAAAACAAAAAAATATATAATAAATCGAAAAATTGAATTGGACCCTATATTGATATAAAAAATAAATCTTATTTTTACATGAGAAATCTCCCCACGAGAGACGGCACTTGTTTGTTGAAACACCCTCTATATTAAATTTCAAAATACATAAAAATTTTAAGGTGATATTTTTCTTGTCACTCAATGCAATTTTATATATTATTATAATAGCCAAAGATACAATAACATTTTTATAAAGTCTTGTCCAATTGCCGTTAAAAGCCAAAAGTAAAACCATTATAACACTAAATAAAAATCAGAAAGTCACAAAGATTCCTCGACTATCTGCTAATATCCCTCTTTAGCGTTTCGGCCTAATCCCTTTTAGGTCCCATTCGGTCGTTTTATTGGGTCCGACCCGGCACCAATCTAAAGCTAATTCTCGCCATTATTCAGTCGGCGTTCATTTAAATAAAAAGCCGATTTGAAAGCATAATTTGCCGGGTTACGAAGTACCCCTCTTGCAGACGGCGCGGCGGCGACCTAGAACCGCTGACGCCGCATCTAAACGTCGAAATTTCTGCGTAAACGTTTGTTGGGCCAAGTAATTACGAGGCTCGGGGTCTTCATTGCGAGTTTTCGGGACTAATTTGCTCTTACGGTAAAACGTTTTTTTAATTGCCAAATCAGATGGTTAGGTACATCTGCAGAGACGCCTGTATTTTTACCTACACTTTCACAGATACACACAAGTCCACATCAACGTTGATTTTCACTATACAGTGTGTCCTCGGATTGTCTTTACAAGAGTAAAAACTTTCATTATTGACATTTTGAGAAAAATGCATTCTCCATAAAAATTTTTGCTTGTTCGAAAATGGTTAATCCTGTTTATACTTTTTTAAATTTCCATACCGTTTTAGAGAAAACTAAAAAAGAACATGAAATATGGTTGAATTTTTTGTTGAAAGTCCTAAAAATTAAAACCCGTTTCTATAGCAATATAATTTCGATTTAATTCTTTGATAGATGGTTATTATTAATTTTGATTGAGTCATATTTTTGCTATTGATAAAGTATCACATTTTCTAATAACTATTATAACCCTTCCCATAGCATTAAACTAAATAAGTTTTGTGCTTGTTTGGCATTTTAAAAAAGCAAAAAATATGACGTTAATTACATCAATAACAATCTATCCAAGAATGAAATCGAAACTATATTACCATAGAAAAGCGTTTTGATTTTTAGAACTCAACTATATTTTCATGTTTTTTCAAATATTCTCTAAAACGGTATGGAAATTTTGAAAAATATAAACGGAATTAACCATTTTAGAA